TCAGACTGCTGGTCGGAAGGGGCCTGGCGTGGGCTAACTTCCCAGCTGGCCACTGTCTCCTCCGGGAGCCTTCTGCCCTTTTCAAGCAGTCTTAAGAAATTTCCCTGTTCTATGGGGTGTTCGTGACTTTTTTTTTCCTGGTCGCTAGGTGGCGCCAGAGATCTCTCCTATTGTCCTTGGGGGGGCTGTTTTTTGCCTTCCCCCACCCCATGGGACAGGGAACAGAGCGGGAATGGTCGGGTAAACCTCAACGGCTTTGGGGTGCTGTGTCTGCCTTGTGCCCCACCGTCGTGGAGATCCCATGCCCCGAATTTCGTGCCCCGGATCTCAGTTCCAAAGCCCTCAGGTCCAGGACGCGGGCTGTAGCCCAGTTCAGTGGCGCGGGAATGGCGCCTTTTTCACCCCGCTCCCGTGCCTGGGCGCCTGGTTCCTGCTTACTCAGTGAGGGACTTTCACCTCAGTGAGGAGAGCCTTCGCGCGTCTCCCCGCAAGCCTAGGTCGCAGGCGCAGGGACCTGGGTAGCCGCGATCCCGATCAGCGTGCTGCTTTTCCGCGCAAGCTTACCGGCCGGCCCGGGCCTGTGTGCGCGTCTCCAGAGTCTCTTTGTTCTTCTCTAATGGCGCCCGGAGCCATTCGCTCACCGCCGCGGCGAATCCTGCAGGGTTCTCCACAGCTCCCGTTCACGGGGTGTGGTGGCTGCAATAGTTCCTTTCCACTCACAGTCCCGCTTGCTGCGTAGTTTGTTCTTGTTGGTCATTTTAGTTTGTTGTTTTCCTCCTCTCTGCCGGTCGTAGAGTGCCGACTCTGTGGGTGGGGTAGGGGAGCAGGGTTCTGTGCTTTCCTCCCTTCTAGTCCTCTTTTATGGCCACTTTCTTCTTCGGGTAGTTTGCTGGAGTCGTCCGTTTTATCTTCCCTGTCCCAGTTCTCACTGGGACCTGCCGCTTTTCCTCCCTATTAACTTTTTTTAATGGGAGATCTTACTCGCAGCATCTCCTCGCCGCCATGTTGCTCTGCCCCTCTCTAGTTCATCTTTAAAGAGTTGGTGGAACTCACTAGTGGAACCATATGGTCCTGAGCTTTTGTTCTTTGAGAGATTTTTAATTACTGTTTCATTATCCTTGCTTGTAATTAGTCTATTCAGGTTTTCTTTTTCTTGCTGATTCAATCTTGAAAAGTTGCATGCTCCTAAGAATTTGTCCATTTCATCTCAGCTATCTAATTGATTGGCCTAAAGATGTTTATAGTTGTATTTTATAATCATCTGAGTCTAAAACTCTAAAATCAATATTTAAAAATTAGTTGTTTTCCTACATGGAAACAATGAACTAAAAGAGAAAAAATATCAACAAAAAAACCCTATTTACTATAACATAAAAAAAAAAATCCTCGGAATAAAACTAACAAAGGAGGTGAAAGACAATATATACAAGGAAAACTATAAAAGACTGTTAAAAGAAATAGAAGATACAAAGTAATAAAAAGATAACTCCCTGCTCATAGATTAGAACAATTAACATTGTTAAAATGACCATCTTAACCCAAGCAATACATAGATTCAGTGCAATCCCTATCAAAATTTCAGTGGCATTGTTCAAAGAAATAGAACAAACATTACAGAAATGTATATAGAACCACAAAAGCCTCAAATGTCCAAAGAAATCCTAACCAAAAAAAATGCATGTATCACAGTTCCAGACTTCAGCTACACTACAAGTAATCAAAACACTATGACACTGGAATAAAACTAGATACAAAGACTGATAGTATATAGAACTGAGAGCCCAGAAGAAAACCTTCACTTATATGGACAGTTAATCTGCAACAAAGGAGCCAGGAGTATACAATGGAGAAAGGAAAGTCTATGTGCACAACAAAATATTACTCAGCTATATTTAAAAAAAAAAAAATGAGCTCTTGTCATTTGGGACAATGTGGATGGAACTGGAGGGGATTATGCTAGGTAAAATAAGTGAGAAAGAGAAGACAAATTTCATTCAAATGTGGAATATAGAAAAACAAATTAAACCCTACAAATCTGACTGTAGAATGAGGTCATCAGAGGGTGAGTGTGGAGTGGGGAGCAAATAAGGGAGAGCCCAGTGGATGTGAATTGTGAGAGATTTGGTAGTGGATGTGTGTGGTAACATACATCTGAAGAAATGTGAAATTGTACTTCTGAATCATCTACAGTTTGCAAACCAACATTACTTCAATAAAGAAGTAATGTAATAAAGAACAAACAAAAAACAACTGTGGAATTGGAGGATGAAGTAGAAGTTTTCATTCTACTTTGTTGTTTTGGGGGATTTTTATAAGTAGAGACTGTTGGATTTATGTGTCTATATTTTCTTTTATAAATTGAATATGCATGGCCTTATATGTCCAGATTTCTACCAACCAGTGAACAATTATTGCATGTATTCCTTGTTCATACTTAAAAACAATTTTGGGTAGCTGCCCTTGCTTATACCTGAAACCTTTAAGGATAGGGGGAAAAGGAAAAAGCTTCTGGTATATGCTGCTAAGATTTCGCTTCATTTGAGATGATTTTGTTTCTGAAGAGCTTGGGAAGGAGTGACAAGTAACAGTTGTAGTATGTAGCTCTGGAACACAAAGGTGGAACTTTTCACAGGAACAAAGCTTTCCTTTTAAGAATGACTCAACTGTGGAAGTAATTTTATTATATATATATATATATAAAATTATATATATAATTATAAATATAATTATAAATAATTATATATAAAATTATACCATATAATATTAGTATAATTGTATTATATAATATATTAATTATATTAATATTATATAATATAATTTATATATATAAAAACCACTGAGCTTCATGGGGTTTTCTGTTCAAGTAGGATCAGAGTTTTATCAGAAATAGGATGGCACCTTGACATTTAGTGTAAGCACCAAAGTCACATGCCAACATAAAAGGGAGGGGGTGAAGATAACATTTTAATTATCAAGATGTGAGTACCAGTATTCCCGTTATTCATTGACCCAGAGAATGAAGTAGGGTGGAGGCAGAATGATGTAGTTGAATATCTGCTGACCCTGAAATCAATCAAAATACAGTTGGCCTTGCCACTTAGTAGCTTTATAACTCACTTACCTCGGCTGGAATAAATAGTTGTATGACCAGCGTTAATGAGTGGTATTAAGCATATTACTATTGTGGGTACAAAATAAATGGCGAATTGATAAATTTTACTTGCTTTAGCTCCATATATTTCCTGCTTTAGCTCCATCTATTTACTGAGATTTTAATATATCACTAGTTTTGAAACCATATTCTCAAACTGATTGTACACTGCCTGGGTTAGGAGTTCATTGAATCATTAATTTATTGATTCAAAAAAGAATTGAGCTCTATGTGCCAGGGCTTATGCTAAGTCTTGGAATCTGCCAGTGCTTAAGACAGAGAAGGTATGTGTTACCTACTGACACCTTCCCATCTCTGTCCCAGACTTCTCCCTTGTAGTTCAGATCTATACATGCGACTCTCTGTCATCTCACTTGGCTGTCTACTGAGAGTCTCAAATTTTGTGAATACAAAACTGAACCTGTGAAAGTACTTTCCTACCACTGTGCTCCTCCTAGATCTTCTTCATCTCATGGGTACCTCCATTCTCCCCTGTGCTCACTCTTTTCTAGTCAGACCGTCTTTATTTTTGACCCACTGGGACCTTCCTATCATGGGACTTTGTACGTCCTCTCCTCCTGAAATGTTCTTCCCTGCGTGACCTCAGCCTCTAACTCTCAGTCACCCAGTGTCCCTCCATCTTTTAGCCTGTTTCTTTTTCTCCACAGTATTTTCCACAATGTAGTATGTTTTTGTTTGTTTGTTTGTTGTGGTTGTTTTTTGTCTCCTTTGACTTACATGTAAGCTCTGTGAGAGCAAAGGTTTCTTTTCATTTTGTTTACTGCCGTGTCTCCAGGGACATAATACTCAATGAAATTGAGTGGGTGGGTGGGTGGGTGGATGGATGGATGGGTGGATTTGTACCCTACACTCTTAAATTGTTAGTTCATGTTTGTAAGCAGAGACAGAGAATAACCTAGCAAACTAGTAAATGAAATTTTTGTTTTCAATGAGAAAATGAGAGATATGGGATAGTAGTGATTAAGGAGGGGGTAGTGAATGTGGGAGTCAAATGTACTTCTGAGGCTTTATGGGGTACAAATGGTGTAGTGTGACAGGAGCACTGTGGTCGAAGTGAGTTTCAAGGATGAAAAGAGGCACCAGCTTAAGAAGAGCAAGTGTGGCATGCTAAGGATTGGCAGTTTATTCTAATTGCAAAAGAAACCCATTGGAGGGTTTTAATATAGGGATTGGCTTGGCTGTTTTTCAGTTTTTAAAAGATTGCTCTCACTGCTGTGATGAGAATTGACAGGAGTTGGGGTTTGGGGAATAGGACCTGAATGTGATGTGGGGAGGATATGTGGGCCTCTGAGCATTATCCTATTTCAAAAAAATTGAAATTATCAAAGCCTAAGGTGGATTTTTGGGGATATTTGTATATTCCAGAGCTATTTCTAAAAAATATCTCTCTGTGGCTTTCTAATTTGCTTCTATAGTTTATGGGGAACTAAGGAGCTGAGGGGCCCACTGGGAATGGAAAGCAGAGCTGTGGAACTGTGAAAACTTCAGAGTTCCTGTCACTCAATGCTTTGCCAGAGTGTCACCTCTGACGTCTCTGATCGATTGCAGAGTACCTTCTCTGAGCCTTCATAAATGACCATGTAGTCAGATAGGCAGCATGTGCAAATAAATAAACAAACAAACAAACAAACAAATAAAATGAGCTGTTTTATAAGATTGTCATGCACTGGTTTTGGTTTTTAACTGCAAGTTATTTTGATTTATAGCTGTGTGTCCTTAGGGAATACTATAGAAGCTGTAAAACTCATATTCATAAGAGAAAAAATGCAAATAGTTGAAGGAATTGCTTTAATAATGATTCAATTTTAATATATTTTTTCCATTTCAGAAAACACCAGTTTGATCATGGAGAGGTAAAAACCTAACATTAGTAAAGTTTTACTTATTTTATGTTTGTGTGTATTTGGACTTCTCTTTCTAGTCTCAGTTTCTATATTTATTAGCAGTTCTCCCTAATCATCTTCCAAATATACCTGTATATATTTTTTATGAGAACGTGTGACCATTCATTTGTGACCTTCCATGTGCTGGAAGGGAATTGCTGAAAGTTCTTTAAATTATTGCATTTGACATGTGTGACCATTCATTTGTTAAAACAGTCAAATAGGAAACTCATTTTGTCTGAGTGGGTCACCCTCACAGTGATAGCTGTGTATTTCTGGCGTCTGTGTGGTCACCTGCGGGCAGCACTTTCCTCTCTGCTCACCCTGCCTGAGGCCTCAGAGCTGTCACTGGCTGCTCCCAGAGCCTGGTGATTCAACTTGGTTTTTGCGTGTTTTCTCACATTGTTAATTTTTGGATAGTAGGTGATTTCTCCCTTTAGGTGTATAGTCCCTCTAGTTCTCCCACCACCATAGCCTCTGTGATCTAGCACTGCAGTCCCTTTTGCTCTTTCTCCCCTTGATCTGACCTCTCTTCTCACCCTCCCCTGATGGATGCCTCTGATCTATGGTCATCTTGCAAGTGCTTTGTCTTTTTCCTGACTCTTCGTTCAGTGTCTCTATATTCCACATATAAGTGAAACCATCTGATGTTTATCTTTTTCCTTCTGACTTATTTCCCTTAACATAATCCCTTCCAGCACATGGATCGAACTGGAAGGGATTATGTTCAACCTGGTTTTGATAGCAGTTCCAAGGGGGAGTGCTGGTGTCTTAAAGCAGCAGCTGTTTCTGTTTACCACTTTCCTGCCTTGATCTGATGCTAGTGCCAAGGTAGATTCAGAAGTTGGGCATCATCATTTGCTGACTTGACTCTGGGCAGAATTGCAGAACCACGTGCCTTAGGAAACTTGTTTTACACATTTCAGATATCAAAGTGATGTTGCTAAGAAAAAAAAACGCCCTTTTCTGTATACTCAACAATTTACCAGTATATTCTGAAATTTCACAAATAGTAAGAGTAAAAATGATGTTATCTTTCTTTCAGCTGGTCTACCATGCATTGCAGCTGCTAGCATATACGGCCCTTGGCATTTTAATTATGAGACTGAAACTCTTCTTGACACCACACATGTGTGTTATGGCTTGCTTAATCTGCTCAAGACAGGTATGATGGTGCTTTGTAGTGTTTGGTGACTTTGTAGCTACTCTGGTCATTCTACCCCTGCGTTTGCTATGAAATAGCCTAAAATTTGAATTACCCAAAGTTCTTTGAATTATTGCAGTTAAAGGTCTTCATGGTTTTGTACTGCTCTTATTAAGTGTCAGGCCCAAAAGTGATCATTTTCTCTATTTCTAACTTCTAAAATAGTCCTTGGAATACAACAGACTCTCAGTGCAGGCTGAATTCATGAATGATGACTACAGATCTTGAGAGAAGTATTTTTGTTTGTTTGTTTGGGCATTCATAACACTAAGAATACCAACAATTGATTTTAAGTTGTAAGCACTGCCTCCTTGCTCTCTGTGTAGGGACTCACACTTCTCCATAGTGTCACCTTTTCATGAATCAACTAGCTACAGTGCAAGTGCAGTATTTCTTTTAAATTTAGCACATATTTACTAAGTATCTACTCTTTGCTATAGGAAAGAGGGTAAACTGGTACATAAAAAAAATAAAAAAAAAACTTAAGTGTATATACTTCAAGCCCTCAAGAAACTTGAAGTATAGCTCTATAGAAATAGAGAAATAATATTGTAGAGAAATAATATTGAAAGTATGATAGAGACAAAGCATTTTTATTGAGGTGGACTATATGAATAAGGAAAACCTTAGCTGGCCTCAAGGTTCCCAATCAGAATGTTGACATTATGTTAGAGACTCCCTACTGTCCTGATGCTGACCCAGGAGTGAAGCTGCTGTTCCTGTTTCCTCCAAGAGGGGACAGGAAAGGGGTCTGTCTGGTGGGAAGTCTCTCATCTTAAAATCCCTCCTGAAGTGTGACTGATGTGGTCTGACTTCACAGGTGGCCGACCTCTGCAGCCACAGGGAGGCCTGTACTCTTGAGGAATTCTTTTGATCTCTAGAGTCTTTGTTTCTGGATATTTCTCCATTGAATAATTAACCCTTTATCTGACAGTGTATCATAGGATAACTAATCCTTCATCTGGAGGACTGTTTCTCTGGTAACCGTTTTGTTTTTTTAAAGAAACAACTTTATTACAAAGCTGGCTAAGCAGAGACAGAAGCTCCCAGTTTCAGAAATAGTTCCTGAATGGCTGGGGAATAGGCTATCACATTTGGAAAGCTGGGCTGGGGATGATGGGAGAACTTTTCTTTGCTGGATACATGCTACTTTGCACTAACAATGATCAGTGTGTTCTTAATTTGGTTTCAGCTATTTGGATGGCTCTTTTGCAAAGTACATCCTGGTGCAGTTGTTTTTGCTGTTTTAGCAGCCATGTCAATACAAGGTTCAGCAAATCTACAAACCCAGTGGAATATTGTAGGGGAGTTCAGCAATTTGCCACAAGAAGAACTTATAGAATGGATCAAATATAGTACTAAACCAGGTAAAAAAAAAAAAAGAGTCATATAATTTAGCTGATGTTTCCCTTTCAATTATATGCACTACTGCAAAATCTTAAACTCAAGTTACTTCTATTGTTCTTGCTCTTTCTAAGCAGGGCTACTTCTCAGTTATCGTGATAAAAAGAGAGATGTCAATCTTACTTAAATTATTTACAAAGAAAATGTTATACATTTTTTTAGTAATTTACTTTGTTGTTTTCCATAAATTCCATTTTTTTCAATTTTTACCCAGAGTTTTATATGCACATGTATTTTGTTATGCTTATTTCCTTAATGAATTTTTAATATTAGTCCTTCACATCCCTTTTTGAAATGAATTCATAAAATGTGATAGTTATTCATTTGTAGAAAGGGAGGTTTTGCAGTGGCTGCCAATAGCTTCATAGTGCTGAGACTCAACCCCTTGTGTCACCACGGAGGCCCCCTGGTGATGCAGGGGATTAAGCATCAGCACTATGAAGCTATCCGCAACTACTGCAGCATGAGTTCGATCCCCAACCAAGGAGATGACCCACATGGAGCTGCAGACCTCTCCTGTCTTGCCCGCTGCTCCCCTTAGCAGTGTATTTCATTCAATCCACCTGTTCTGCTCCCCGCTCTGTCGCTGGTGAGTCCTCTTACCCCCTGCACTTCTGGCCTGTACCTCAGTTCTTGTACACATAAATAAATAAATCTTTTTAAAAAAAAGTGGGGGAGAATGTGTTATCATAGGTGCTATCATTGAATGAACGAATAATAAGTTATCCTCTAAAATTCCTTGTGCTGGGCCTCCCTGGTGGTGCAAGAGGTTAAGACACAGCCTATGAAGCTGTCCGCAGCCACTGTAGCACAAACTTGATCCCCGGCTAGCCAGGGAGCAATCCACATGGCACAGCAGACCTCTCCTGACTCACCTGCTGCTCCCCTCAGCAGTGTACTTCAGTCAATCCGCCTGTTCTGTTCCCTGCTCTGTCTCTGGTGAATCCTCTCACCCACCCCACACCTCTGGCCTGTAGCCCAGTTCTTGTATGCATAAATAAATAAATCTTTTAAAATAAAATAAAATTCCTTGTGCTGTGAAACTTTCCCAGTCAATTTGGTACATCTTTTCCTACAATTAAGAAAGATTTTTAGGATATTAAAAATACCAACATCCAAAAATCTTCAACGTGAGATGAGACTGTCTTCTAGGGCAAATTGTTAACCTATTTCTGGTTGTTGCTTCACACAGGTTCTGCCATTGACTTTTAAAGTCATGAAACTCTCTGGGCTCAGGTTTTTTTCACCTGGAAAGTGTTTGAGATGACTAAAAGGAAACCTTGCATAACACGGGTGACTGTGTCTCTTGCTTTGCAGATGCAGTGTTTGCGGGCGCCATGCCCACAATGGCAAGTGTGAAACTCTCCGCACTTCGACCCATCGTGAATCATCCACATTATGAAGATGCAGGTTTGAGGTTAGTACTCAATTGTCATATTGTTGAAAAGAACTTTCTCATACAAATAGGTAGTGAATGAGAGAATCAGTAACATTGTAAGGAGTGTTAGGAAAGAGGAGTATGTTGAAATAAGACTACTAAGTTAGATGCAAAATTGCTAAGACTATGTAGGGTAGGAAAAATAAGACTTTTGAGTTTTCTTCTCTACCAGGCAGTATAAAGAAGTCATCCCATATCAGTTTTCTACAGATTAACCTGACGCCAAAACACCCAGGTGTGTTATATGAGTGGTGGGGGGCCTGACACGCTCCTGAAGGCTCATTGGTCTGTGGTTGTTATTAGAGTTTTCTTAGAGGCTGTTTTCCTTGAATTCTGAGGACTCAGTTGAAATGGAGTCCATTCAAAAAGGGTTTGATTCTGGTTTTCACCCAAATAGTCCCTTAGAATGTCCATGTTTTTTTGTTTTTGACTTTTTCACGGCACAGTCTTATGTTCTCTTAGTGAAGGGAATAGATCTAATTTTCATCCAACTTCTAGGATTGGTCAAACTATTCATGTTCTAATATACTGGATGAATCCTATTTCTACATTCTTTTGTGTAACAGTAGGGCATGTATTTTATACATCAGAATGTTTTTCATTAAAAAAATTAATGTCAGCAAGCTAATTTTCCAGAGCAATTGTGTTGAATAGTTTAGGTTTTTTTGTTTTTGTTTTTTTCCCTTAATGTAGGAATGAAATGGAGAGCCATTTAATATTAATTATTGTTGGAGTCAAAGTTGGGAATTCTGTGACTTTAAAGCCGACCTGTAGCTGCGCTTGTGTAGTACCCATCCACATACAGGGTGTCTTACTCTTGTTTGTGGTAGAGTGATGAAGAATTTAAAGCAAAAACAAGCAGATAAAGAGACCAAGTTTGGAATGGAGGGTTGCATTAAGCCAAACCTCTCCTTCCAGGACTCTTGGCTACTGCTGCCTTTTTCCTTTGATTTCCCTGATGCCCCCACACAGGAACTGTTGTGAAGAATGTTCTCATGACTGGATTCTTCTCTGTTGTCTTTCTTTTAGTCCCATTCAGTGCTTTCTTCCAAATAGGTTGATCACATCCTTTAATCATCAAAATCTGCCAATTGTTTTTCTTTAAAGAGCCCGAACAAAAATAGTATACTCAATGTATAGTCGAAAAGCAGCTGAAGAAGTGAAGCGAGAATTAATAAAGTTGCAAGTGAATTATTACATTCTAGAAGAGTCATGGTGTATAAGAAGATCCAAGTGAGTATTCCACACAGTTAATATTTTATATTCATAAAACATGAGAAGTTAATTCAGTCTCATGCCAGTGCTTTAACAGTCCTATTGTAAGATGCACGTAACATTTAGTAAAATGTATGTGGAAAATGTTTTAGATAATTATCTAAATTGAATCCTTTTTTCTGTTCTGCTTATTATGAATATTTGTTTTTTTTTTTTTTATAATGATCTGTATGTTCATGCTACCTAAAAGGTACTATATTAATGCAGATAATATTTCAGATGGTTCATATTTACCTTTAATATTTTAAAAACTCTAATTTAAAGTTGGGTTTATTTTCTTTAAAAAGACTTGCAGGACCTGAAATGAAAAAACAGAGGAGAGAGTCGTAATGAAGTCACTTGACAGCTGAGAATTAGGACCTCCTCCATCCATACCTCATTTCTAAGATACTGAAATATTCTAAGATATTCTGTACCACACCATATCCTGTGTATTTGGGACCTCCTTTCAGCATAAAATTAGAGGGAAACTTCTTTCTTGCTGCTTCATATCTTATTTGAATGGGAAAGTAATTTAACTTTAACGTGACCCACATTCTCTTGAGTTTATAGTTTAAGAAAGCATCTCCACAGAGTTCAGTAGGCAGAGTATAGCTACAAGAATAGGTAGGGTCTTGAAAGCAAATGTAAATTGTCAAGTTGACCATGTAGACATGTGTACCCAGGTGACTGGACAGTGGATGACAGTGGCTTCCTATTGAAATACCAAAGGAGTCACTCCATGAGGAGCCCAGACAGAGCCGTGTCATCAGAAATCAAGGATCTTAGGATGCTGTTAATTTTCAGAGTCTCACTGCTCTTTAACAGAGGCCTCCAAGAGATTGCTGTATCTGTGGCTTTATCATATTCATTCACCATGATTTTCAGTGATACACAAAGGTGTTAAAACAATTTTGGAGTGAAAATTGTACTGTGATATAGTATCCATACAGCATTACCCACAGGGAATTTGAGATGATTATTGATTATGGAATGATTTCCTATGCTCTCTGCCAACTGACTTTAATTAGAAAATCTTATTCTCTTGATTATAATTTATGAACATAAGGACTTTAATACATATGAAATTCATATGCTCAACTTTAGTTAATTTGTTATATAAACTAAATAAAAAAAAGTCCTAAGCATCTCTCATACAAGCTTTATGAGGACATTGTGAGAAATGAATGGTGTGCTGACCTTTGTGATAGGAAGAGCTCAGCTTCCTGACAGCTTTCAACCAGCACTGGATCTTCTTTATTGCCTTAGGCATCACTCTCCAGTTCTGTTGTGCCAGCCTGAAATACCTGTACTCAAACAGAAAAATCATCTTTCATGACCCTTTACCCCCAAACTGTAACAATTAACCTTCATTCAAGATTCTTCACATTGTCCTAGCCCCCTTGGATGGTGTTTTAGAAACATGAAAATTACGGAGACCAGTATGTTTTGTGTTCTAACATGTTGGTCACACTCCTTGGCTTTGTATAACTGTAGTTAAAAGTTTCATGTTTTAATGGATTGAGTATGATTTTTTTGTACACAAGAAGGGATGAAAGGACACATTTAGGAAGCATAGCAATAAACCTTCCAGTCATCTCCATTTTAGAGCTCACGTACAGGCACTTAGAATTGGGGGTAACGTGTGTTGTGTGCTGGATTCCCCATCTGCACCTTGACCTTCCTTGCTGTGTTTGTTCCAGCAGAAGTGGAGAGGGAGGAAGCTAAGAAAGTGACTTTCTCTCATCTGTGCCCCCCACTCAGTGATAAAACAACACTCTCCATCTACTGTAAGATTGAAACTAGATAGAGTATAATTGTCGAGAAACCTTAGACAGGCGTCCTGTGCTTAAACCTTGACGCAGCACAAACTGCTTCCTGATCTGTCAGGGAACCAAATGGGGAAACTCAACTAGGAGAGGAAAGGGAAGAAAGCCCAATACTTAGTGCTGACATTTGCTATAAGAAGAACAGAGTTTCTTGTCAGATGCTTCTCCCCCAATTGGCATCTTCTTTATCAACGTGGCTTTCACTTTCAATGCAGCTGTGCCAGCCTGAGACACCTACAGGTTACAGGAACAGGAAAATATGTCAGCACAGGAAGCAGTGGGGAGCACAAATAGAAAAAAGGGAGAGAGGGACGAATATTTCTCTAGTGCTTTCCCTGTGCCTGACATATTGGTCAGCACTATGTTTATGTGAGCTCAATTACATGTGGCTTAATTGTGTGGTTTGATTGTTCCTTAAATACTTGACACCCTGTGTTCAAATACAAGTACTAAAATACACTCAAATGCAAGTTGTAGATGAGTTTTTAATTAACTGCTCTTTTATTCTCAGTTCTCTGCTTTCTTTCTCATTAATTCCAATAATAGAGTTGACATAAAATTAAAATAAATGAATTCAGAAGGAAACTCTTTAGATTTTCACTAATGCTATTTAAAGTTGTAGCTGGCTGGCCTGGGAAACTTCAGGAAACAGATAAGGACTAAAGAATGTTATACTTAGAGCTTACAAAGACAGCTGTTTGCTGTCTTTTTCCAAAAAGCACTTGCAGCCCAGAGATGAGTACTTTTCTATTCCTGTGTGCTTCATTCTCTCCTCCTATTGGCCTGTAGCGTTGCAATAGTTTGACCTTGACATGTATGAGAAAATTAAATGGTAGAAAACCCAAGCCTTGTCCTATCCCCACATGTATGTTGGTAGAATCTAGTGTTATAAGGGTGTGCAACAAATGTGCACCAAACACTCTTCATGGGCAAAATCATTGGGAAAACCTTTTGGGAGATAATTTGATAGCAGCAAAGTAAAAATTATGTTTTTCTTAGACACACTGCTTGTGCTACTTTGGGAAGTATACCTTGCCAAAAGGTAAAGGCACAAAAAAATGTTTCTAACAGCATTATATTATAGTAGCAAATGGGGAACAATTAAGATATCCATCCATAATGCAGTAGTTAAATAGTACATACATATAATAGACACTATTAAAAAAGAATAAAGTATATCTTTGTCAACTAAGATGAAAAAAATGGCCACATTGTATTAAGTAATTTCATTTTTTTAACTTTCTTTTTTTTGGTGCAGTTTATATATGTTTATTTTATCTATTTTTACAGTAATTTCATTTTTGTATAAAAATAAAAATCCGTGCATTTTAATATGTCCATTCCTCTGCTAGCATGATCTCTGTGAACATGAGTAAAAAAGTTTCGGCGCCTTATGTGCTAGAATGTTTACAGATGTCACCTCTGAGAAATAGCAGTGGAGGTGACAGTGACTTGCATAAGTCTGTATCCTAACACTTTTAGAATGATGGCTTACCGTCACCAGAAGAAGTTCGTAAGGAGAAGCAGGTGCATTCCTGCTGTGGTCCTTGCTTCATATAGTGGAGAGCAAGGGAGTGGTCCTACCATCAGGGTATGGCAGAATTTAAATTTTTTTCCCATAAAAAATGAAGCAACTATGACAAATCACAGTTTTCACTTCTCTATAATTTTTCCTATTTTTAAATTTCTCAAAAATCATATGGAAATGGTGAATAGTTGTATCTACAAAACTATACTTAAAATAAATGCTAGAATTTTCTTGAGTTTATTTGGGCAAGTATCATAAAATACTGATTTCACCTATGCCATTCTTTATATAAAGGTAATGCTTTTAAGATTTAATTGTGCGTTTAGTTAATATGAGTTTAACACTGACTGAAATGTTCGGCAGGAAAAGACGAGGACGACAGGGAAAAGACGAGGAAAGGGGGCTTTATTGCGTGTCCCCCCCCCCCCCCGAGCGAGCTTCTCAGACCCAAGGTGGGGGTCGATGAAGTCTTGCCTATTGTCAGGGGAAGGCAGATTTTTATAGGATGGGGAGAGGGAAACCAGGCTTGCAGGTGGGGGACCTGGTTTATGGAGGAACAGTTGTTTTTCTGATGGTATCGGTGGCAGGCCCTCATTCTCACCCCTCAGTGGGCTTCCTCATTCTCGCCCCTAGGCTCTTACCAGATGCTTTTTTGTCCTAGTGACTCTGGTTCCCGCCAGACCTTTCAGACACTACCTGAGATTTTCTTTAAGTTGTCTGATGCTCGGTGTGTTTGCCAGTTACTACCTTTTTTTTTTTTTTTTTACAGTGATGAAAAGGTATATTTTATTTATATTTTTTGAGCAATTTTATTTTATATATTTTTTCATCATTTTTCATTTTTGCACAATGTATGCATTTTCATCTTGGTTATAGTCCCCATACAATTTCTACCCCCCTTGTTTTGATCCTACTCCCTCCTCCCCCCCTGTATAGACTGAAACAAGTTACTGTCTTTAAAATTAATATAATACCCCTTTCTGTGTGTGGCACACGCGCTGGGTGCGTTCTCGCAGTCGCTGCAGCACAGCTGTTGCAGTGTTTCTCCTTTCACTAGAGTGGAGGCTGAGGCTGACTAAAGTGTCCAGGACCATATCTTCAATAAGTAGCTGTAGGGTAAGGAAAAATGTCAAGGCTTTTCTGCCCTCCCGCCATCACGATAGATGGTGGATCCTTGCGGTCCTGAATGCATGCCTGATGGCGGGCACCTGGAATAGGGTGTGGGCATAGGTAGATGGGATTCACCTGGGCCAAGACTGGGGTTTTAAGGGCGGTGTCACGGGGACGCCAGCAGAAGCCGAGAAGAAGCCAAGAACAAACAGAAGCAGGAGGGCAGAGAAGCCGAGAGAAGAAGAGAAGCAGAGAGAACGCCAGAGAGCCCAGATAGAGTGAGGATTTGCTGGGGGCTGGGAGGACTGCCAGCCTCCCAGCCCCCCAGCACCCCTGCCTGCCCTATGCCGGGTAAATCTAAATAAAAGACCTGCAAAAGCCACTGAGGACTCTGACTCCTCCTTTACCCGGTCTGCTGGATCAGAAAACCTGCACTGTGTCCTTCCTGCCCCTATAGTAGCTCAGGCAAGATTTAACCAAGATCTCTTAAACCACCACCTGAATTCACATATTTAGTACATTTGTTTCTTTCCAGTAGCCTTTGCTGCATTTATCTTTTTCTGAAGATTTATGACAGCTTTACACAAATATAAATAACTATGATAGGCTTTTAAAAAGAATTAGTAAAAAGTGAAATAAAGGTGGGAATACAAAAGTGTGTTCCCTATCTGCCATTATAGAATACATTCATTTTTACCTGCACATTAATTTTTCTAGGCCTGGTTGCAGTATGCCTGAAATTTGGGATGTAGAAGATCCTGCTAATGCTGGGAAGCCTCCCTTATGTAACCTCTTGGTGAAGGAATCCAAGCCTCATTTCACCACTGTATTCCAGAACAGTGTTTACAAAGTCTTAGAAGTTATAGAAGAATGACTGCTGCCTGTGAAGAACAACATCAGTAATGGTTTTAATGTTTTGCTACTAAGTTATGCATTGTTTTTAATTCAAATCCCAAAATCTTTTATAGGTAACTGTTTTCAAATAGAAAACGTGTCATTTTGTCAATGGAATGTCATGTTGGCCGTAAAAGTCCTTATGCTTTTTCATCAATCGGTTACTATTTCGATGTGCCCTTAAAATTTGCTATGCAAATGAGTATATGCTTGTACTTGACTTAAATATTTGTGCTAAAGTGAGCAAAGGTACCTGTATAAAAAAAGTCTGTTGACAAATATGATATGAAGATAGTGTATTCTGAACTCTTGCAGGGGCTGCTGGACCCCTCCATCCTTCTCTGCCTCTTGCCCTTGTCTTTTGGACACGGGTGATTATTGTAAGCCCCAAGATCATGTCAGCCCTGTCACTGACCAGTAAGAATAGGTGGGCAGATATGGGTATTTGCTATGTAGAATGATCTGTTTTTGACTTCTTCATGTTCCTTTTGTTCTCTGTTGCTCTTGTTAATGAAGCACTTGCTGCCTTTCATTAATCCAAATTCTTGGACCTGGTGGTCAGGACCTCATTCCTTCTCCAACCATAAGGCATTAGAGCTTCTCCTCCTCTCTCTGTTCCTCTCCTCCCAACATTCTTTGTCAAATAAGTGTTATTTACTCATTTACTTGCTTGTCAAGTCCTTATTCTTGGTTTAAGAAAATTTAATGGCAATTGTATATTTTTCTCGTTTTTAGTATTACTCAAATGTTTATATTTTAATACCTTTAAACAACATTAAAATTTTTCATGTTTAATTTTAGTTTTAAGAATAACTATTTTGAACAGCCATGAATATAGTGCATCTAGAAACTAATGTATATTTGAAAAGACTTAACTTACAGTGAAACAGTAGACTATAGTATGTGGTAATTTTTCTTTTTCTGTTAAGATATGATAAAATGTGACTAATTTTCTGTCAGGAAAGTAAATGAATAATGATAAATTTATGTAGCTTTTATATTTTACTTTTAAAATTACCTGTCTTTTAATAAGACAAAGCCTTAATTAAGCCTTATGCTATAATTTTGGTTCCAAAAGCAATTATTTCTTTATGAGGGCTAAATATATTGAGTCTTCCGTTTTATTTTTTTCCTTCCTATTTATTTTTATTTTGAAAAAATGTCCGAGGCTGCTTTGAATTCCTAGTATGGATTTTTGTTTCTTAGAAGTGAATTTGTAAGAAATAAGATTCTTTAATATGATGATGGTTCACTGGTGATATGGTGGTGGGAGAACTATGGGGGCTACAGTGATGTAAGAAAATTTAAAAAATAAATAAAAATTAAAAAAATAAGATTCTTTAAAACAGTGAATCTTCATAGTTTTGAGTAATGGCTTAGGATTTTAAATTCTAAGTAAACGTGACTCTGACAGACTACCCATTTAATTATACAGTGTTCTCTTTGTTAACCGCAGGCAAATTAACCTCCTTGTGGATTGTCCTTGAGACCTGAGACCTCAGGGATGATTTCCGGTGCCCACTCCTGGGAGCCACTGAAGAGCTGTTCTCTTCCTGCCTTCTCACCAGAGCCCAAGGACAAGCCTGGTCTGGGGGAAGCACTAGCTTGCTTACAGCAGAAGCTGCAAAGACAGCATTGCCCGGGGAGTGCGCAGTGCTTCTCTGCTCAGAACCCGCGTCTCTCTGGAGCCTCCTTTCCAGGGTCACCCTGAGGTTCTGTGTGTGTCTTCCGGTTCCCATCTGCCTTCTTGCTTGCCTGCCCCCTTTTTTTTTGCCAGTTTCAGAAAATCCAAAGTAGCTGGAGAATGTGGGTTATAGTAGAATCCGGAACAACCGGGTGAGGCCACTTATGAAGGCTAAGTAAGGGTTGCAGTGGGTGAGGGGACGTGTGCTCTGTTCTGTCTGTGGTTTTTTTTCTCACCCAACTGTGACTGATTTGTACATCCAGAAGTTACTTTTAAAAAAAAATAAAAATCATACTTTTAGGATTATCCTCTATTCTGTCTACCCTTCAATAATTGCTCTCCTGATAAGGTCACATGTAATGATTGGAAATTCTGTACGGGAAGAACAGTAAAATACTGTTAGAATTGTTTCATATTTCAGGAAAAGTTGAAAGTCAAAATTTTTTTCCCCAGAAGAAGCTTTTTGTAACTGTATTTATTAATGTAACTCCACCAGCAAGCTATGATTATGTTGTAGGTCCGTCCGTTTAGAAAGGAGGCCTTGGGCTATACTACACACTCAGCCTTGGTCACATCTGGTAGCAGCTGGTGCTGTAGATTATAAATATCTTTTATGGCAACATAGAGTAGTAGTGGGTTTGTTATACATGACACAGCAGTATTAAAACTAAGTATTTTATGCATTTAAAAATATTTTTGCTTTAGTGTGAGGAGGTGAGGACGGTCAAGGAGATGATGAAAATAGCTATTGCTATGACAGAAAAAACAAATTTGGGGCAGTATTTCTATAACAAGGTAAGCCTCTAAAAAGGCTTGGCAGAGAAAGTGTAGTGTTAAAATAGGGCAATAATACTTAGGAAAATGGAAGGATGTATCAGGAACAAAGTAATATTGCATAGGAGTATTGTATTTTTATGAATTTTATGCCAGTTGTTTACATGTACTATGTATGTTAAATAAAAAAGATAATGAAAATACAGGATGTGCATTTTTGTTGTTTTTATTCTCACTGTGATTATTAACAGGGCTGGCTTCATTCTATAGTCAGATAACCATGAACTGGTTTGTGGGCGATTGCATCCCTGGATAATGGGAACAATTACAATGGTAGGGTCCAGGAAGCTATTTGGTCCTCTGCCATTGGTGATGGTATAGGTATTGGGGTTACCCATAGTTGTCTTACATTTGTGGCATTACCACTTACGCTATGTAGGGTAAGTAAGTGATATCAGGCTTTTCTGCCCTCCCGCCATTAGGCTAGATGATGGATCCTTGTGGTCCTGAATGCATGCCTGATGGCGGACACCTGGAGTAGGGTGTGGGAATATGTAGATGGGATTCACCTGGGCTCATACTGCACTTATAAGGGCGGTGTCATGGGGATACCAGAGGAACCATGAGCAGAGAGCAGAACCACGAGAAGAGCAAACAGAAGAGCAGAGAAGGAGAACCATGAGAGAAACAAAGAGAACGTCAGAGAACGCCGGAGAGCCCAGAAAATGTGAAGACTTGCTGGGGGCTCCAGGACTCTCTTCTCCTTTACCCCGTCTGCTCAAATCATAGAGATCCTGCTCCGTGTCCCATCCTGCCCCCTACATGCTACTTCGTCATTTACATCACGAAGCACATTCACTAAAGCCATAATTTGGAGATAATTCTGGAGTTGCTGAAGTATTTTTCTCGTTAAACCACTGTAGGGTAAAGAAAATGTCAGGCTTTTCTGCCCTTCCGCCATCAGGATAGATAATGGATCCTTGTCCTGAATGCATGCCTGATGGCGGGCACCTGGAATAGGGTGTGGGCATAGGTAGATGGGATTCAGCTGAGTTAAGACTGTGCTTTTAAGGGCAGCGTCACGGGGGGACGCTAACAGCCCCAGCAGCAGCAGCAGAACCTGAAGGAGAAGCTGAAGCAGAAGCAGAGAACGCCAGAGAGCCCAGATAGAGTAAAGACTTGCTGGGGGCTGGGAGGCCTGCCAGCCTCCCAGCCCCCCAGCCAGCACCCCTGCCTGCCATATGCCTGGTGAACCCCAATAAAAAACCTGCAAAACTACTGAGGACTCTGACTCCTCCTTTACCCGATCTGCATGGGATCAGAAAACCTGCATTGTGCCCGTTCCTGCCTTTACAATTGGCGTATGTCGGCAAGATCCATGTAGACGGGTATTGGAGCCCTCCGAAGACCTGGAGGGACTAAGGAGAACAGACTTTGCCTGTGACGACGCTGGAGGCACCATGGCGGTATAGAAGATGGATACGTCCACGAGCTACAGGATGAGACCTGGCGTGAAGGAGACGCCCGAAAGGACAAGCCAACGACACCGGAAAGGACCAGCCAACGACACCGGATAGGACCAGCCAACGACACCGGAAAGGACCAGCCAATGACCCCTGAGGCAGCAGGCCATTGCTGAAGCAGGGAGAGGCCAATGGACTGATAGACTGATGAACTGATGATTTTGGACTGACAATCCCGCCAGAAGGCGGAGGACCTTAGCAGGTTATGTTTATTTTTTGAGAATCTGGGGGTGGCCAGTGGCCTAGATGGCCAAAAGCAGCCTGTGTATGCCCAGTGGCCAGGTGGAGGAGAAAAGCCAACTGAGAAAGCAAAAGCTGGTACTGATGATAAGTTGAGAAGCCCTGAGCGGCTGTTAAGCAGCCTGGGTATGCTGAAGCCCTGTGAGTCTCGTAAAATCACCTGTGGGTGATGCCCTGCTCATTCTTGAGCGAGGGTGAGGAGCTGAGGAACCTGTCCTTGGGGGACGGGTGGGGAATGTGGCTTGGGGTGGAGCCCAAGCCGAATGCAGAGTTTGTATCCCCTACCCATGTGATTGTGCAGTGGGTTGGCTTGAGTGCAGGGGTCTGTGAGTCGCATGGGTGGCCATGAAGGCCGAGTTTTGGAGCGACTGCAGACAGAAACCCTGAGGGTTGGTGATTACCCCCAACAGAATAAAATTGCCAATCCCAGAGCTAGTGCATCCTGGGGTGGATGCTGTGTGCCTTGTAGCCTAGACGACAGCCAGAGAAGGCCAGGAAGCCTGACGGCTCCTGGTATGTTATAGTAGATGCCGTGAGTGATTCCCCTCCCTCATATGAGCAGTGCCTTCGGCAGCAGATTTGGTGGCTTATCTGCTGGTACCAATAATTGTCTTTTGCACTTGGTTGGTGCCCTGCCTGGACTTATTTGTGTTCTGTTGTATTTTGTTATGTTGTATTTTGTTATTTGATGTATTTGCTTTTGTGGGCCATGGCTGCATTGTTTGTTTGCTTAGAAAATTGTGTATATATGTATAGACTGTATGGCAGAAAACCCTGAGGGGGTGGACTGTAGGGTAAAGAAAATGTCAGGCTTTTCTGCCCTTCCGCCATCAGGATAGATAATGGATCCTTGTCCTGAATGCATGCCTGATGGCGGGCACCTGGAATAGGGTGTGGGCATAGGTAGATGGGATTCAGCTGAGTTAAGACTGTGCTTTTAAGGGCAGCGTCACGGGGGGACGCTAACAGCCCCAGCAGCAGCAGCAGAACCTGAAGGAGAAGCTGAAGCAGAAGCAGAGAACGCCAGAGAGCCCAGATAGAGTAAAGATTTGCTGGGGGCTGGGAGGCCTGCCAGCCTCCCAGCCCCCCAGCCAGCACCCCTGCCTGCCATATGCCTGGTGAACCCCAATAAAAAACCTGCAAAACTACTGAGGACTCTGACTCCTCCTTTACCCGATCTGCATGGGATCAGAAAACCTGCACTGTGCCCGTTCCTGCCTTTACAACCACAGACAGGTTGGTCTCATTACGCCATGTTTTTGCTTAATACAAACATCAACTTTATTTTTTACTTTTCATCGACTTGAAGGAAAGACAATTTAGCTTAGCTCAACCCTATGCCTGTATAATTTTTTAACACAGTGACACCTTCCTTCTGTGACATCCTTGGGGAATAAAGTGTTCTAATACTGTTGTTCTAAATTTAGTATTAATCAGCATCACTTGGAGGCCTTGCTAAACATATTGTGGTACCCCACCACAGAGGTTTCTGATTCAGTTGGCTAAAGGTAGGGCTGTAGTTGAGATCCTGACCCCAGATATGATTGTTTCAGGAGGTGGGACCTTCTGGAGGTGAGCAGGTTGTGAGTATGGAGCCCTTATGAATGAGATTAGTGCCCTTGTAAAAGTGGTAGAGAAAATTACCTGGCCTCTTCACCTGTGAGACACAGCAAAAAGATGCTGTCTGTGAACAAGACAGGTACCGAATAAGCTAGCACCTTGATCTTGGACTTTCAGCATCAAGAACTGAGAAAGAAATATGTTTTTGTAGGGTAAATGAAATGAAGATTGCTCAAGTCTTTGTGTCATTGGCCTCTGCTGCTATCACCTGCAGCCTTAAATGCAAGAAGCACTTTGGGAGTTTGCGCTCTGGGTATGCAGGCCTGCGGGCTGAACGGAACCTGCAGCCTGGTGTGGGCGTGCCTGAGTGGGTGCACCTGAGCCTGGAGGGCCACGGCAACGAGGATGGTGTGATGCAGATCCGTGCAGCCCAGAGCAGGGGAAGGCAGTCGGCATCGGCGGGCTGCTGGGGATCTCGAGAGAAGCAGCGAACGCGGGAAAACGCCAGAGAACGCTGGAGGGCCCGGGAGGGCCCCTAGAACCTGAAGATTAGGAGGCTTCCCCAGCCATTTAGCCCCTTGGCTCCCCTGCCTGTCCTGCACCTGGTTAGCCCACTACAAAATGGTTTAGAATGATCTTTAAAAGCCTGAAAAAGCCGCTGAGGGCTCCAGGATTCTCCTTTGCCTGCTCTTCCCTACTGCCTCTGCACTACAACTAGCATAGTCCTGCAGGATGATTTAACACAGACCGGTATGGAGCCCTCTGCCTCAGGAGGGAGTGAAGGGTGATGGCCCTAAGTATGTAGTGCTCGGGGGCGGCCTCTGGGCGCCTCCTGAGTGGCTGGTGCAGGCGGAGAGGACTCTGCATGCAGTGGGATGGTTTTGGACGGACATGGTGCCTGCTCAGAGGCAGGGCTGAGGATTGAGTGTTCTCTCGCAGCTGTGCAAATGGAGTCAAGGACAATGCTGGAGGCGCCATGGTGGTGGCAAGGCAGCACAGGTGGTGACCAAAGTCCAGGGGCTTCAAGAAGAGCTTAGACACTGCAGGAGCACAGGAGGTGGACAAGGTTTGGGACATGCAGGACAAGACCTCAGTGGAGGAGGAGACGGCTTGTGAGGGCAGCCCACGACCCCTGAGGCAGCAGACCCTTTGGGGATGAAAGAGGACCGTGATTCCTCTGTGGGAGCACGCCCAGTGCTGATGCAGGCTGAAAACTAGCAATTCCGCCAGAAAACAGGGGAACTTGGGTAAGTTGATGTTACATCTACGGGACCCTAGGGATGGAAGGAGATGAAGATAAAGGGCTGGCCGGTGGGCCTGGGTGACCTAAAGCAGCCTTGTGTGAAGTTGTCTGCAGCTAGGCGGAGGAGAGGGGTCAAAAAAGCCAAAACTCGGCCAAGGTTGGGAAGCCTAAGGGGATGATGAATGGTTGGGAGTTTGCTAAACAAGGTAATCAAGTCTCAAAATCACCTGTGGATGATGCCCTGTTCACTGGTGAGTAGGGGTAAGGAGCTGAGGAACCCTTGGGGGAAGTGGGGGTGGGGAACAGTGCTTGCGGCAGAGAACAGGTGTGGAGCTTGTGTCTGCAGGTCCCCAAACCACAGCCTGGGCAAAGTGTTGCCTTAGTTCAGGGGTGTGCTTGTCACCTTGGTGGCGATGAAGGCCGAGTGTTGGGGTGCTATGAGTATCCCTGGGGATTGGGTGATTACCCCCAAAAGTATAGTATCGCAAATCTGTGTGCACCCTGGGGGTGGGTGCAGTGTGTGGCTTGTAGCTGAGACTGCAGTTGGAGAGGGCCAGGAAGCCAGGTGTGTGGCGGCAGACTCCATGAGTGAATAGTGGATCCCCACCTCACATGATCAGCGCCTTGCAGCAGACTTGATGGATCATCTGTTGGCGTCAATAACCACCTTGGTTTTTGCCCCTCAGCTGGTCCCTGCTTAATTGTATCCTGTTGTATTGTTCCATTGAGTTGTATGTTTTGTTTTGCAGGGGGATGGGAGGGGAATCCTGGTTACAATGTCCAAGGGAAATTTAGGTGAAGATTGTGTGGCAAAATCCGAGGAGGTGGACTGTAGGGTAAATGTTTGCTCAAGCTTTTGCAAGTTGGCCTCTGGGGCTATCACACACCCTATTGAATGCAGGAGGAGCTTGGGAGGGTGGACTTGGGGTAAACAAGCCTGAGGGTGGACACCTGGGGTGTGGTGTGGGCTAGCTTCTGTGGGCGCACCTGCGACTATTGAGTATATATGGGTGGGGTGAAACCGGGAGCAGCAGAGAATGGCAACGAGAGGAAAAGATACAAGGAGGCGGCCCCGAGACAACGCCAGAACTCAAAGGTAAGACGGCCTATAGAGCCCCTTGCGTGTCCCCTCTTCCGTCTATTCATGCCCTGTGTCCACTCGTCCGTCTCTCTAGTCGTCTATTTGATGTAAATGGTGGTGTCTCCCAGTACACTGTTTGCAGACACATTTAATACATTTCATTGCTTTTTAAGTTCCTGGTCTTTTTTGTCATATGCACATTTAATACCCTTAATCACAGTTGTAGGAAATTAAGCTCATTCAATTGTCACACTGATTGCCCTGAGAACTTTAGTATTTTCTAAAAGTTACAAAGAAATGAAAATAATGACCATTTTTAAATAATTTGGCATATAGCCATGATTCTTTTTTTTAATGTGGAAGGCCCGATCTTCAGCTAAGTTTTATGTACACAGCTCACATTTGTGTCTGCCCTCCCAGGTGACAATGCCTTGTTTATTGGCCAGGCCCCTCAGGTCTTCATTTAGAATGTACTTACCAAAATCGAGAATTCAATGTATCTCTCTTGGCATGGAACATCTTGGGCACAGGAAATGCAGTTCAGTAATCCTTCCAACCCTTTAAATCTGTAACGAATTTGACTTTTTCTAACAAAGATCCCCTTATGGTGTGTTCTTAAGGTACAATTCTTTGCTAATTGGAAATTACTTAGGGGGCTTTGAAAATACTGAAGCCTGTTGCTGTTCACATTCCTTTGTTCATCCTACACATTTTTAAGCTTTCTAGCCGGTGTGTACATGAACACGTTTGTTTCATGGTCAGGACAGGATCAGAAGCCATGGAGACTGACAACTGATTTTTTTTTTTAAAGATTTATTTTTTATTTATACAGTAGCTGGGGTACAGGCCAGAGGCGCGGGAGGGTGAGAAGATTCACCAGAGACAGAGTGGGGAACAGAACAGGAAGATGGACCAAAAGCACTGCTGAGGGGAGCAGAGGCCGTGACAGGAGAGGTCTGCCTTGTCATGTGGGAATCTCCCTGGCCAGCTGGGAATCGAACCCGTGCTGCAGAGGCTCCAGATGCTGCATTCAGCTTCACAGCGCTGTTCTAAACCCACTGTGCCCCCCGGGGAGGCCCTGAGTTTTCTTTTTTTCACGATGGTATCCATGGCCGCATCTTCATTTGTAAGCAAATCCTGAAAAAACATGAAAAGTGTTTCATGGTTTATCTAAGAATACAGAAAATGTTGTTATAGGTGAAGAATATCAATTTTGTATAGCTTATTTCAATCTAGATAAAATATATTTTGTTCAAAAAAATACTCAAGCCTTTCCCTACCTCCAGAGACAGATTTAATCCATCTAGTATGTGGCCTAAGATTTGGACCTTTTAAAAATCCCCAGATGACATTTAGAATCTAGCTTCTGGATAACCACCCTTCCCAAGTCTCCAAATTGGAGTTGGTATGGAAGTTTTCCTCGTCCACACATTCTCTCATTAATTATTGATAATTTCCATTTTATTTCTGTTTATCACAGAACTTACTGTTGAATAGACTTTTAAAGAATTCTGTGTCCACTTATAGATATCTGCCATAAGGAGCAGGTCTGGCAGGTGCCATATCTTAGTAAACCTGACAGGCGTATCAGTGAGAAATGGTAATTTAAAATAATCAATTACTGGGCCTCCCTGGTGACACAAGGGGTTAAGTACCGCGCTGTGAAGCAATTGCAGCCTCTGCAGCACGAGTTCGATCCCAGGCTGGCCAGGGAGAAACCCACATGGAAAAAACAGACCTCTCCTGTCTTGCCTGCTGCTTCCCTCAGCAGTGTGTTTCAGTCTGCCTGTTCTGTTCCCCACTCTATCTCTGGTGAATCCTCTCACACCCCCACATCTCTGGCCTGTACCCCCGCTCTTGTATGCATAAATAAATCTTTAAAAAAATAATCAATTGGGCCTCCCCTGGTGGCGCAGTGGTTGAGCACTGGGTTGTGAGGCTGCTCACAGCCTCTGCAGCGCCAGTTCGATCCCCGGCCACCAGCGAGGGTCCCACAAAAAAAAAAAAAAAATAATAATTACTTTAAAAATCAGTATTAATGTGGAGAATCATATTCTTTGTAAATGTCCTTTCTTTTACATGAAATATGCTTTTTGGGGCCTGGTGGCACAGCGGTTGAGCACTGGTTTGCAAAGCTGCCTACAGCCTCTGCAGTGCCGGTTCAATCCTGGGCCGGTGGGCGAGGGTCTTACATGGCGCGACAGACCTCTCCTGCCGCATCCGCTGCTCCCCTCAGCAGTGTGTTTCCTCAGTCTGCCTGTTCTGCTCCCTGCTCTGGCTCTGGTGAATCCTCTTACCCTCCCTCACTTCTGACTGTACCCAGTTCTTGTATAAATAAATAAATCTTTAAAAAAATATGCTTTTTGTTGTGGCTATGTATAGGCCACCCCACAAATATCCCACAGTGGCACATTGATTATTTAAAATTTAGGTTCCTGGAGAAAACCAATGCAGGAATGATATTCCTGCCTTGTTTCCCTAAAAGCAGGAAATAAATCTTCCATGTGAAAGACACTCATTACAGCAGGAAATGAAGAAGCATCCTTCTCACAGACAAGGAATTCAGAACATTTAGCCTATGTAAATACATTCAGCTAAATTAGAGTCCAAAACAAAAGTTTCCTTTCTTCACAAATAATCTTTGTCAAAAAAGTATGTAAACCTCATGCACTGGTCATTCCATGGTCCAGCCACCAGTATGAAATTAAATGTCTTTTTCTCCTATTTATCTGCCTTTTGAATATTATTTTCTAGCCCAAAAGATGTAGTAGGGTAGAGGAAATTTTTTTTTAATCTTAAACACATTTTTTTTTAAAAAAGATTTATTTATTTATACAAGCACTGGGGTACAGGCCAGAGGCGTGGGAGGGTGAGAGAATTCACCAGAGAGGGAGCAGAATAGGCAGAAGGACTAAGGTACACTGCTGAGGGCAGCAGCAGGCAAGACAGGAGAAGTCTGCCTCGCCATGTGGGAATCTCCCTGGCCGGCCAGGAATCGAACTGGCACTGCAGAGGCTGCAGACAGCTTCACAGCGCTGTGTTCAACTGCTGCACCACTGAGGAGGCCCCCTTAACACTTAAGGAGCTTTCACTTCAGGATGCAACTTGAATATCACTTCATCTGTACAGCCTTCCCTGACTGCCTGCCCTTTTATAAAGCTGAGTGAACTGTCCCAATTGGCCATTCTCCTATAATTTCTCCATTCCACATGTTAAATGTTAATCATACCTTTTCTTTTGCTTTGTGTCCTTACAGATTGGACTTCTGTCTTAGTTCGAGTCCACAATGCCTTCAGTTTCTGGAAAGTAATAAAACTCAATTTTAAAAATAAACTATGTAACATTGCAGAAAATTCTAGATAGCACTAAAAATTATTTTTCAAACTAAGAAATGTATTCTGGCTGTGGTCATGAAATAAGGAAATTTGGCTATTTTCAGATGAGATTTATATATATCCAAGAAAAAGACCCTTAGTGGCTGAACAAAAATTAACCTTATGATATTAAGACTAGTTACCTTGACACATTAGACACAGTTAGTAGCCAAATAACTTTACTGGAAGGCGCTATGGTAAAGACTCCAGAGGAAGGACTTTCATTGAGCTGGTTTGGGTTTTGTGACCTAGGACACAATAATGGTGAAACCGGGACACATTCACTGCTGGCCATGAAGCAGGCAAGGCTATTGGGAATGTGAAGTTTGGGCAAAGTCCCAAAGGAGGTAGAGTCTGATCTGTTATTGTTAAATGAGGATGTGAGACAAAACACAGGACTGCTGTCATATAGCTAATAGTGTCATAATCAAGCCACCTGCTTTGGAATCCTGGATACAATTTTATAAATTGTTGTAAATTAAGGTATGTTTCTTAATTTGAAAATTAGTTTTCTTCTCTTTCAAAAAGATATGCCTCCTTGTTTGGAAATTACAAACAGGCAGAATGGATAAATCCATAGTCACAGCAGGAAATTTTAACATGCAACTCAATAGTTGGTATAAGAAGCAGGCAAAAAAGAACCCAGTAAGGATATATGATTTGAGCGATAAGAAAAGCAATCTTGATTTAAGGGTCACATGTAGAAAACTACACACACACAAAAAAAAACATGAATGAGGGCCTCCCAGGTGGCGCAGCGGTTGAGCGCTGGGTTGCGAAGCTGCCCGCGGCCTCTGCGGCGCCGGTTCGATCCCCGGCTGCTCCCTGGCCACCGAAGGAGGGTCCCACATGGCGCGCAGACCTCTCCTGCCGCCCGCTGCTCCCCTCAGCAGTGTACTTCGGTCCTTCTGCCTGCTCTACTCCCGGCTCTGGCTCTGGTGAATTCTCTCGCCCTCCCGGCTTCTGACTGTACCCAGTGCATGTATAAACCAAACAAACAAACAAATAGATAAATAAGACATGCCTCTAGAAAATTAAAAAAAAAAAAAAAAACATGAATGAATTCTAATTGAAGCATGTGGGACATTACCAAGAATTGACAACAGAGTGTGAACTCCAGGATGGCATGAATTTTTTGGCCTATCTACTGATGTTACTCAAGCACCTAGAACAGTAACTGGCATATAAAGGTGCCTAATACTTGTTGAATAAAAAATTGATCCTACATGGGCCCAAATAGTGATCTTTAAAAACAGTGACTGGGCACAACACTAATGATAAAGGACTGATCACAAAAATCTGCAAAGAGCTGATGAGACTCAACAACAACAAAGAAATTAATCCAGTCAAAAAATGGGCAGAAGAGCTAAAAAGAAACTTCTCTGAAGAGGAAATGCAAATGGCCAACAGGCATATGAAAAAATGTTCAACATCACTTGTAATCAGGGAAATGCAAATTAAAACTACCATGAGATACCCTCTTACACCAGTGAGAATGGCACATATTAAAAAAACTAGCAACAACAAATGTTGGCGAGAATGTGGAGAAAAAGGAACTCTCCTGCACTGTTGGTGAGAGTGCAAACTGGTCCAACCACTATGGAGAGCTGTGTGGAGATTTCTGGACCTACTAAACATAGAGCTTTCATATGATCCAGCAATTCCACTCCTAGGTATTTACCCAAAGGACACAGAAACATCAATTCCAAAGAACACCTGCACCCCTATGTTTATAGCAGCACTATTTACAATAGCTAAGCTTTGGAAACAGCCCAAATGCCCAAAAATAGATGACTGGATCAAGAAGATGTGGTACATATACACCATGGAATATTACTCAGCATTCAAAAAAGATAAACACATGCAATTTGCAGCAACATGGATGGCGCTGGAAGGGATTACGCTCAGCGAAATAAGCCAGAAAGAAAAAGAAAAATACCGGATGGTCTCACTCATAGCAGGAATCTAGAAAACTTAAATAAGGGGCCAGGAAAATGAATAACTATAAGAAAGTGAAAATCAAAATCAATAAACAACTATGAACCAGAGACACTGTATGGGTGGTGGGGGGCAGGGAGGGGAGGGATTGGGGTCAAAATAAGGGGATTGCAATTGTATGGGGAATATAAAAATAAAATTTATTTAAAAATAAATAAATAAAACTTAAATAAAAAATAAAAACAGTGACTGGGAACATTTACATAGAATCAATGCAAAAATAAAAGAAGCAAGTTTAAAATAATTCGTTAGTTAAAGGAGAGTCAGCTGAAAATTTGAGGCAAGAATAAAACAATGATTTACTACAAACTACTTGTGGAGCATGTTTAAATCAGATCTAGAGATATATTCCTTTTTAGTGTAAAATACTCAGACTAAAAATTAATGAATTCAAATGTGTCAGAAATACAGAGAAATCACAAAAGTTTATCCTCACCCCCCTCTCACAGGGGGAAATAACAAGCAGAACTTAAAATAGAGATCAACAAATCCAAAGTCAGTTATTTGAAATCATTCATAATCAAAAGAAAACAGCAAGGCATCAGAATGGGCAAAGAATAGACACTGCTGTTTGTAAACAGATATCAGGATTATGAGCCTTTACTTAATAAACTTGATGAAATGGTTAAATTCCTAGAAAAATACAATTTAACTGAGCCAAAAGGAAATAAAAATTAGAATATCACCCTCAGTAAGGAAATTGAACTGGTAATTTAAAAAAGCATCCCCATCAAAGAAAATAATCCCTCCAGTTTATAAGCTTATTCTGCTATGCATTCAAGATATTGATTAGCCCACTCTTTGACATCCAGGGAACTGGAAAGAAAACCTCCATTTTTCAGATGAGTGCAGCAGTAATACCAAGAGCAGAGTGGGGTTAATGCAGTAGGGAGAATTGCAAGTCTTACATTCATGAGTAAAGATGCAAAGAACATAGGAGTAAATTGAATAAAAGGAATAAAAAAAATCAGTTCTCTGCAAATTGACCTATAGTTTAATCAATATACCAACAGGGCCTTTTATGGAGCTTGAAAAGCTAACCGTAAAAATTTTATAGGGAAGACTAATCAAGGTATGTCTGAAAAAACATGAGATCTGAACATTTTTCCTGATAGCAAATATTTTTACAATGGCTATGGAAGTCTTGAAACAAAAGTAGATAGATTGACTAATAGAACAGAGCAGATCTCAGAACAAACAGGTGCACATATTTAATACATGAGGCTGACAGCTGGTTGTCTATAGGGAAGGCAATGAATTGTTTCACTATCTCAGGAAAAAAAATAAACAAAATTAGCAGGCAACTATAAATCAGACACCCTGCAAGGGAGGGAGAGGCAGAGGGGTCAAAACAGGGGAGAGAAGAGCGCAAAGGACTATGGTGATGGTGCATTGATGAATTAGTGGTGGGAATTTTACAGGAACTACACCTGAAAGGAGAAAACATACATTGTACAAAAAGGAAGAATGATGTGAAATATATATATATATATATTAAAGAATAAAATTCCAGATAAAATGCCAAAGCACGAGAGACAATACTATAAAACTTAGAAGACAATATAAGGATAATAACTATCTCCTCAAGGAGGATTTTCTTAAAACTTTTGAAAACCCCAAAAACATTAAACTGGAGAGAGAATTGCTGATAAATTCACGTAGTCTCCTTCACTACTGATGGAGGGTAACTATTTAGAAATAATTGGCAATACCTGATGAATTTGAGAATGTGCACAATGTGACCCAACTTCGCTCCTCAGATAGTATAGTGGCAGGATAGGCCAGAGCAGGTTCTCTATGATCCGAGCAGACAGGTGAAGGAGTCCTGGAGCCCTCAGTGGCTTTTGCAGACTTTTATTGGGATTTTACTGGGTACACAGCAGGCAGGGGGGCTATCAGCCTCCCAGCCCCCAGCAAGTCTTCACTCTGGGCTCTCCGGTGTTCTCTGGTTCTCTCTGCTGCTGCTCTCATGGTTCTCCTGGCGTCCCCCTGACACTGCCCTTATAAGCCCAGTCTCTCAGCCCAGGTGTACCCACTTACGCATGCCCACACCCTACTCCAGGTGCCCGCCATTAGGCATGCATTCAGGACTGCAGGGATCCATCATCCTAATGGCGGGAGAGCAGAAAAGCCTGATACTTTTTATCTTAACCTACAGATATATACTCAGAAAAGTTCCTATGCAGGCATCAGGAGCCATGTATAAGAAGTTCACCACCAAGTGTTCCTAACAGCAGCAAATCACAGCAGGGAGGGAAATGACTTGAATATGTGTTTGGAATAAATAGTAGGATGGTGTTCTGCAGCCATCCTAGGCTGGGTAGGTTCATCGTCGGGTAGGTTCATCAGGCCTGCATACAAGACCACAGGTGTTGGTCCTAGATGCTAATGACAGGAGGGTGGAAATAACCTGATAACTTCCATTTACCCTACAAACTACCCCCTCGGGGTTTTTCACCATACAATCTACATACAATTTTCTCTTGGTGAATATGAAGCAGAGTATGCCATATACCCAGGCGGAACTGGTGGGCATACTATAGCTGTGACCCACAAAAGTAAAGAATGCAACTGAAAACAATACAACAAAAATACAACTAAGCCCAGGTACTAAGGTGTTAGGGCACAAACCCAGGGGCAAAAAGACAAGATTATTAGTGCCAGCAGATGATCCATCGATTCTGTTGCCGAAGGCGCTGCTCGTGTGAGGGGGGATCCACTCTATTCACTCATGGTTTCTACTGTGACAAACCTGTGCCATCAGGCTTCCTGGCCTCCTCTAGCTGCGGTCTCAGCCACAAGCCATACATCGCATCCAGCCCAAGGATGCAGTCTGACATTGGCGACACTCTAGACTCTCTGGGGGGTAAGCGCCCAATCCTCAGGGGTATGCACTGCTGTCATCCCAACACTCGGCCTTCATAGCCACCAGTGTGACAAGCAGACCACTGAACTAAGGTCAGTCCTTTGCACATAGATGTGGGTCAGGGACCTGTGGATAGCAGACTCCACAAGTGGCGTCCTGTCCCCACTTGTCCCCTGTGGATGAGTTCCTTAGCCCTCACCCTATTTGAAAGTGAACAGGGCATTTCCCTGTCTGGGTTCAGCAGCAAGTGGTCCGTGGCCTGGCACTTCCAGTATAGGCCATCTTATGGACGTGAGCCTCTGGTCTTGCAGCTGCTTCCATCATTCTAACAGATATGTATTGGGCTTTGTTTTAGGATGATCTATGCCTGCTTTCACTCAGTCTGTCCACATTTGGGTCACTTTAACAGGTTGTGTGACATTAAGAAGCTTCCTTGCCCTTGGCATTCTTTTTGGTTGTTCAGCAACTACCCCTATTCTCTGAGTCTGAGCACACTAGCTCTCAACTTCACCCAAACTGGCTATCATTGTGTATTTGACATCCCATAGCGGGTGCTAGCAGCGCCATATAGGAGTCAAACAAGGGTGGTAGGCACTTTTCTTACCAAATCCCTCATTCCTGCTGTGAAAAGCTCATTGTCAGGACCATGAGCATTCACATTAAACATGGCCTGCCGCTTCCCCAGTACCTGTGCCAGCTCTGTGGATGTCTGCCATCTGCTCAGGCTGGCACATCTCCTGCCCCAGCCCATACTGTCTGTCCGGCAGCCATTATCCAGGCCAACAGGGTGTGAGCACCCTGGGCACACCACTGGCTGCTCTGCAGCCGCTGCCTCAATGATGGGTACAGGGTCACTGAAGCCAGTGTCTCAGTGCTGTGTAAGTAATCCTGTCCACCCCAGGACCCACAAACAGAGCAGCCAGGCTGCCAAAGGTTCTCCTGATTTCTGATAGATCTATTTGCCCAAGCCCACCAGTTCCGCCTGGGTATATGGTCCATACGTAGTAAACTCCGTCATTTGTGGTGGCTCAGCAGCCGGCCCCCTGGGACCATGGGCTACTGTCACTTCATTTTCTGAGTAACATCAGGCCGGGTGAGCCCAGAACATGGGGCCAGCTTCCTCCTCCTCTCTCGAGGAGTCTGGTGGTGGGCTGGTCTCTCCGGATCTCTTCCTCCAAAATCCTCAGACGTTGTTGCAGTTCCTGTGTCTCATCCTGCAGCTGCTGGACCCTAGATTGCTCTCTCTGCATAGACTCTCACAGAGCTGTGAGAAACACTGCAGCCCCTGCCGCCTGGCGGGCACTGTATCTACCCAAGGTCTCTTCTATTCTGCACAGGGCCCCTTCCAACTGCAATGGGGATCCACATACTTCTGACCATTCCTGGGGCAGTGCCCACTGGGAGAGGAGGCTGGCCACCGAGTACCGCCTGCTCGTGGCCAGCCACCCCACATGCCCACCCTGTTTCAAAGGGCTCCATACCTGTCTGTGTTGAACCGTCCTTCTGTTTACACCATTTGTCCTGCAACCATCCCAGGCCAGGTAGGGTCATCATCGGTACAGGCAGCTTGGGGGAATCTCGCCACCAGGGAGACAGTAACTTGGGCCCCCCTGCGAATCTCTATGCTCTTTCCTCTTGTAGCCTTCTCAGACGCGCTCCACCTCTCTCCACCACACCATCCTCTGCCCAGCTCCGGCCCCTGTGACGCCGCCCTTATATGCCCTCGGTCTCCTGGCTCAGGCACGCCCACTCACCACGCCCACTCAGAGCCCTAGGAGCCTCCACAATCAGGGCTGCGCTTAAGACCACAGGTGTCCCTCATTGATGGTAATGGTGGGAGGATGGAAAAAATCTGATCACTTTCATTTACCCTACAGATAGATAAAGACTTTGAGGTGTAGTCAGCCAGTAGGACCTACTATGTGAAAGCACTATAGGTAACTACATGGATGACTCTCTGGGAAATATGTTAAGTCAAAAATAATCAAATTTGCAGAAGAATGCATATGATCTGAGTCATAAATAGAAAGTTCAATAACAAGGTCAATATATTTCAGAGGGTTAAAATGTAGTAAAATACAAAGATAAGTAAGTAAATGATAAATGCCAAATTCAAGTCATGGTCATTTCTTAGAGGATAGAATGGGCCAGGGACTCAGGACTCTTCAAAGTTGAAGGTTATGTTCTTTGAAATTGGGTAGGGGTTATGGCTGTGATTTTACAGTAATAATTTATGTTATTCATATTTTATAGATATTCCAATGTATATTCGAAATTTAAAAAGCAAGTAGATGCTCTCAAGCTGATACACTTGAAATGAATAAGCTGATGTAGACGTGGCAGGATTGAGAGGAAATCCCCAATTACTCTGGCAACCATGATTTTAAGGGGTATTTTTGCATGGTGGGCCCTGGTTCAGTGTAAGGGCCAGTGGCATGAAGGAAGTAGCTATCTCATTTAAAGGGCCCGAAGTGGCCACTTAAGGTAATAAAACCTCACAGTGTTAGAAGGAATTGCTTGCTGACTGGGTTGGAGTTAACATCTTTCTTACAGAAGAAAAACAGAGACCCTGGGAGGGGAAGTGATTTGCCCAAGTTTGCACCAGTTCTCAGTAGTATATGAAACTGGGAAGTGAGTTAGAAAGATTCCTTGGGGCCTAGAGCCCACTGTGACCATGCGTAGTGGGAAGAACATGGGCCTAGAAAATGCTGATTCTGGGTTGGAATCCTTAGCAGGGTTGTCCATGAGACAATTCTGTTCTTCCTCCTGGCTAAAGTGGAGGTAAGAAATAAAGCCAGTCTCATAGAACTGTTCTGAAGATTGCATGAGGTGCTATAGGTAAAGTTTTATAGTCAGGTAAATGCTTCTTTATTTATTTATTTTTTTGTGGGACCCTCGCAGGTGGCTGGGGATCGAACTGGCGCTGCAGAGGCTGTGGGCAGCCTTGCAATCCAGCACTCAACCACTGTGCCACCAGTGGAGGCCCTGTAATAAATGCTTCTTGCCTGCCTTCTCCCCCGATGACAGAAGATGAGGAGATTGGATCAATACGGCATCGTCAGCCCACACCCGCAGGTGGGAAAGCCACAGGCTCGCTTGAATGTGCAAGAGCCGCAACTACTCTGAACGTTTCTGCCAAGTGTCTTCGTGGTACCTGTTGGGTTGTCTTTTTCATATTGAATTTATTTCTGGTTCTAGATTACTAACCTTTCACTTTGCATTTGTGTAAATAATTATTGTGAATCCTTCTTACTCCAGACACACTGAACTTTTGTTATCACAGCGAGATCCATATGGGAACAAAAAGAATCAAGCTGAACAAAGATTTCTACCCAGAATCAATTTCCCGAAGCTGGGAGCATTATTGTTCACAGTCTGTGAGCAAAATATATTTATTTTTTGGAGGAATGACTGTCTCCTTTATTGATTTCTCCCTTTATTCAGCCTCCCATTGCCTGCTATTTCATACTGAGTTTGGGCTCTTACCCTGAGCAGAAAGAGTCCCTAGCCATTGGCACACCATGTGATACCATGTCTGGTCTCACGCAGGACCTTTCATCTGTGTCAGAAGAGGAAGGGGAAGCTGTGGGGCTTTGTGGCACCCAGGCAGGGCAACTTCAAGGTTGGCTGAGGGTCCTCATAAAAGTTTAATTTAGGCATATTGAGTCACATTCCAGCCATGAAATTTAAGGTAAATTCACTTTGAAGCCACCTGGAGAATATTCTCCATCATAGGACTTGTAGGATTTCATTTCAATTTTTTTTGTTGTTACAATTTATCATACATATGTTGAATCCCTGCTGCCTCCCAGGCACTGGGCAAGCGATGTAATAAAGCAATGACACTCTCTGTGGCCGAGGAGGTTTGGGGACTTGGCAGTTTCTCACAAGCAGATGGTTTGGAATACGTGTGCTGGAGTGGGGACAAGGGGCTCTGCAGCCTGGCTTAGCTTAGCCGTTGTAGGGTGAGTTGGTCAGGCTTTTTTTTTTTTTAAGATTTATTTATTTATTTATACAAGCACTGGGTACAGTCAGAAGCGCGGGAGGGTGAGAGAATTCACCAGAGCCAGAGTGGGGAACAGAACAGGCAGACTGACGAAATATACTGCTGAGGAGAGCAGCGGGAGGCAGCGGGCGGCAGGAGAGGTCTGCGTGCCATGTGGGACCCTCGCAGGTGGCCGGGGATCCAACCGGCTCTGCAGAGGCTGCAGGCAGCTTCTCAGCCCAGAGCTCAACTGCTGTGCCACCAGGGGAGGCCCCAGGCCTCTTTTTTTTTTTTTTTTTAAAGATTTATTTTTATTTACACAAGAGCTGGGGTACGGGCCAGAGTCGTGGGAGGGTGAGAGGATTCACCAGAGACAGAGCAGGGAGCAGAACAGGCAGACTGACCAAAGCAGCGGACAAGACAGGAGAGGTCTGCCTCATCATATGGGATTCGAGCCAGGAATCGAATCGGGGATACGGAGGCTATGGGCAGCTCCATAGCACTACGCTCACCCTGCTGCGCCACCAGGGAGGCCCAGGTTGGTCAGGCTTTTTATGCCACTAGCCAATATGGTTATCCCCTGCGGCCTTGATAGTGTTGATGCAGAAGGCGCCTGGGGATGTAGGTATGGGGCACGTGTGCCTGATTGTGGACACCTGGAGTATAGGTGTGTGCGGATGCATAAGTGCACACACCGAGCACGGAGGTCAGGACTATAAGGGCAACATCATTCAGACAAAAGACAGCCATGAGAGGATGTATGTTATGACTACAGAAGAGGCAAGATCAGGAGAGAATGCCAGAGTCCAGAGAAAAATTGTAATGATTTGTGGGGGGCTGGGAAGCTCCACTGCCTGCCTGCCCCCAGCACCTCCTGTCTGCCCTGTGCCTGGTTGCCCCACTACAGTCATTCTCTGAAAAAGGCTAAGTAAGCTGAGGTGACACATTTACCTTTGTAAATGTCTGCTGTCATGTCTGTAAAAAGGAATAAAGAATCTTTATCACCTGGGCTTGAGATCTTATTTTTGTCATCAACTTACTGCCAGTTCTGTATGCTCAATCTTCTATTTAATGTAAGAATAAAAGTGGTGCCGTTACCTGGTCATTTTTTTTTTTTAAGATTTACTTATTTCTTTGTACAAGCACCGGGTACAGTCAGAAACGCGGGAGGGTGAGAGAATTCACCAGAGCCAGAGCGGGGAATAGAACAGGCAGAAGGACTGAAATACACTGCTGAGGGGAGCAGTGGGCATGGCAGGAGAGGTGTGCGCACCATGTGGGACCCTTGCCAGCGGCTGGGGATTGAACTGGTGCTGCAGAGGCTGCAGGCAGCTTCGCAGCCCAGCGCTTAACCGCTGCGCCACCAGTGGAGGCCCTATCTGGTCATCTTCTGACCACACCTGTAGCTTCTTTGGCTGTGCTCTCTCCTCACCCTGAACTGAACAGGCAGCATATCAGACTTCCACTGAGGTTTAAGTGAGAAGGGCTGTGTTGGGGTACTGCCATCGTGCCCATTTCTGCCTTGAGAACTTCTTCACTGACTTGGCTTCCTTCTGTAGTCCTGTCCCCTCACCGCTGGGTGCTGTCCCTGCTCTCCCTCACTCTTGTTCCTCTTTTGCTCAACAGCTTACCTCTTCTAGTTACTAGAGAAGCCCTTTCTGGTCAAACTCTAAGTTCCCCTTTATTTATTATGCAGAATGGTTTCTCTCCTTTTAGTCTAACCTGTTTTTACTTTTAATTGTGCTGCGAACACTTAATATGATATCTGGCTTCCTGAAACTTGATAAGTGTGTGATACAGCATCGTAAACTATAGTCATGATACCATTGTACAGCAGATCTCTAGTCAGCATTCATCTACATAACTAAAACTTTACAACCATTGTCCTTTGGGTAAATACCTAGGAGTGGAATTGCTGGATTATATGGAAGCTCCATCTTTAGCAGGTTGAGGAATCTCCACACAGCTTTCCATAGTGGTTGGACCAGTTTGCACTCCCACCAGCAGTGCAGGAGAATTCCTTTTTCTCCACATCCTCGCCAACATTTGTTGTTGCTAGGTTTTCTTTTTTAGTTTTTTTTAAAAATTAATTTATATATTTACACAAGAACAGGTTTAAAGGCCAGATGCGTGGAAGGGTGAGAGGATTCACCAGAGACAGAACAAGCAGACTGACCAAATACACTGCTGAGGGGAGCAGCGGGTGAGACAGGAGAGGTCTACCACGCCATGCGGGTTCCTCGCTGGCCGGCCGGGATTGAACCGGCTCTGCAGAGGCTGCGGATAGCTTCACAGTGTGGTGCTCAACCGCCTGCACCACCAGGGAAGTCCCTGTAGCTAGTTTTTTTAATATGTGCCATTCTTACTGGTGTAAAATGGAATCTCATTGTAGTTTTGATTTGCTTTTCCCTGATTACAAGTGATGCTGAACAATTTTTCATATGCCTGTTGGCCATTTGCATTTCAGAATCATTAATTCAAAAGGGCACCCACACCCCTATGTTTATAGCAGCACTATTTACAATAGCTAAGCTTTGGAAACAACCCAAATGCCCAAAAATAGATGACTGGATCAAGAAGATGTGGTATATATACGCAATGGAATATTACTCAGCAATCAAAAAAGATAAGCACATGCAATTTGCAGCAACATGGATGGAGCTTGAAGGGAGCATGCT